GGCGTGCTGGGTGCCGCACAGGTGTGCTCCCACGTTGTAGGAGCTCACCAGGTGAGAGATGCATAGCGCAGAGGGGAATGGCAGAGGCGGGGAGAAGTGAAGGCCAAGGGGAGAGGACTGCTCAGGCCCAAGGAGGGCGAAGGGCAGGTGGGAGGGAGTAAGGCAGGTGGGAGGGGGCAGGTGGTTGGGGAGGGGGAGGGGCAAGTGGGAGGGGGAGGAGCAAGTGGGAGGGGGAGGGGCAAGTGGAGGGGGCGGGGCAGGTGAGAGGGGAAGAGCTGGTGGCCGGGAAGGAGGAGTGACTGGAAGGCAAAGGCTCTTGTGTTGGAGGAGCCAGAGGGGGTCGCAGAGCACCGGGTGGGGAAGTGGCGCCGTCTTTCCGCGGGCGCCTTACCTGGACAGGGACGGGTGGTAGAGCATGAGCAGCCCCTCGGCGCCGAGCAGCACGGCCAGGCCCCAGGCCATGAGGTGGTAGAGCAGGATGATGCTAGGAGAGGAGAGAGCCGCCTCAGCTGCGCAGCCAGCAGGGAGGCCCAGTGGCGCCGGCCACGCCCGCGATCCCCACTCGGGCAAGGAGTGGCCTTAGTTGGCCTCTCGGCCGTTCTTTTTCCTGGGGTGGAGTTCATATAACAGAACTAACCATTTTACCCTGGCCGGTTGCTCAGTGGTTGGAGCGTCGGCCTGCGGACCGAAGGGTCCAGAGTTCGATTTTGGTCAAGGGCAAGTACCTCGGTTGCAGGCTCCTCCCCGGCCCGGGCCCTGGTCAGGGTGCCTGCAGGAGGCAACCCATCGGTGTGTTTCTCTCACATCAATGTTTCTCTGTCTTTCCCTCGCTCTTCCACGTTTTAGAGAGAGTGGAAGAGATGCTTTGTGTAGGTGAGGAAAAGGCCCACCTTTATTCTTTTTTATGTCGATATCCAGTTGTCTGAGCCAGGGTGAGGATTCCAACACAAAACAAAACAAACCAACCGACGCCACAGTGAGATAGCACTGCGTGTACCAGGAGGGCTGACACTCCCAAAGCCACACACATGCACAGAAAGTAACACGTGTCGTTAGCACAGGCGCGGGATCGCAGAGCCAGCGCTCCCAGCTGCTGAGAAAGCGCAGGGCGCACCTCGCGGAAAGCAGCTCCGCAGCTCCTTACTGGTTACACTCAGGGACGCGATGGCCCGGGGCTTCCGCCCTGGGATGAGCGGAAAACTCGAGTCCTCACAAGCACTTGCGTCCACGTGTCACTGCAGCTCTATTCCTAATTGCCCCGCAATGGCACCCCTCCATGCCCCTCAGTGATAAACGGATAAAGTGCCCACGGCCCTGCAGTGGAATATTACTCAGCAACGAACAGGAATGAAGCGCTGATAGATGCTACAGCGTGGACACACCTTGGAAATGTTATGCGAAGTTTAAGAAGCCGACACAAAAGGTTGTATAGCGTATGATTCCATTTATGAGAAACATCCAGAACAGGCAGATCTAGGCACAGAGAGTAGATTAGCAGCTGTGGGGGGCTGAGGAGAGGGGAGAATGGACGGACAGTGACTACTAACCAGCACAGACATTGGGGGGGGGGGGGCTTAAAGCGTCATAAACTAGATGATGGTGATGGCGGCACAATTCCGGGAATTCACTACCAGACAATGGATCTTTGTTGTTAATCCTCACCCGAGGATATTTTCCCACTGATTTTCAGAGAGAGTGGAAGGGAGGAGGAGACACACAGAGAGAGAAACACTGATGTGAGAGAGACACATCCACGGGTTGCCTCCTGCACGCACCACTCCTCCCGCACTGGACCAGGGATCGGCCTGCAACCGAGGTGGGTGTCAGGCTCAAAGGGGAGGGGCTGTCCTCGGTGAGGTTGCAGGTGTCTGTCAGGCGATGAGACCTGGCTAATTGGCGGCACACCTTTCCCGGGGCCAGGGCACCAGAGCCGGGGGGCCCCCCTCCTCTGCCTACCTCAGTCCCGACGACCTCCGGATCACCAGGTAGGCGTCCACCGCGTAGCAGAACAGCCACCAGAAGCAGGTGCTGTAGAGCAGCTGGATCCACACCTGTGGGCGGGGAGGTGGCCATCAGGGCCCCAGGGCCCGGGCGCCAGGCTGCCCCAAGCGAGAGATGACCCTCGACGCCCTCTGTCATCCGGAGGCGCACAGGGCAGCCTGGGACACACTGGGCAGGCCTGGAAACCAGGGCGGTGTGGCGGGGACAGCTGTGCGCCTCTGTCCGGGTCTGCTCAGCACCTGCCTCGAGAGCCCTGCCTCCCGGGCATGGGTACCGCGCAGAGCAAGGGCTCAGCTGTGGGGCGTAGACCGCCCGAGGGCTCACAGGGTCTTGGGGCCAGAAGCGCTTTTGCTGAGAACGAAGGGGTGTGGGCAGGACAGGCAGAAGGGCCTTCTCATGGGAGGGGAAGGGAGGGGAGGCTCCGGGGCGGCCATGGAGGAGGCGGGGCTGACAATTCTCTACAAATGGAGGGTCCAGGCAGCCTCTGTGGGCTGAGAGTGCTCACTGGATGTTATCTTGGTGGACCATGTGTATTTAAATATATATATATATTTCATTAGGCAAAATGCAGCCAATAAGTCAGTAGCTTTCTTTTCTTCTCTCTCTCTTTCTCCCTTTCAGCCAGCTGGTTCTGACTGTGGTTCTGCCTAAGGCAGTGGTTCTCAACCTTCTGGCCCTTTAAATACAGTTCCTCATGTTGTGACCCAACCATAAAATTATTTTCGTTGCTACTTCATAACTGTAATGTTGCTACTGTTATGAATCGTCATGTAAATATCTGATAGGCAGGATGGTCTTAGGCGACCCCTGTGAAAGGGTCGTTCGACCGCCAAAGGGGTCGAGACCCACAGGTTGAGAACTGCTGGCCTAAGGTAAGGCTTGCAAGACTGTACACGCATGCGCTGAGGGGGAGGGAGGGAGAAGCCACACTAAAATCACAGAGGCCGGCACCCTGGGCCCCTGGTCATCAGTTCTGGGGAGGGAGCTGGGTCTGAGGGGGGTGGGGGACAGGCTCTTTGGGGACCAGGGCACATCCAGGAGCTCAGCCAGGGAGGAGGGGCGGACAAAGGGGGCGCACTCACCGCACTCCCCACACAGAAGGCGGCAGGCCAGATGTCCGTCCCGTTCCCCACATTCATGGTCTGAACAAAATCAGGGAATCCTAGCCACACCGCCGCCCGGACCATGACACCTAGGCGGGAATTGGAGGCGAGAATGAGCCCATCTTTTACCCGGTCCTGATGCGGATCTAAAGCTGAGTTGTTGCTCTGGGATGGATGGATGGATGGATGGACGGACAGATTGATTCGCAGATGGACAGAAAGGGAGAGAGAAAGAAGGGGGGAGAAAGAGGAAAGTAACGCCCATGTTGATGTGCACACAGAGAGTAACTGCGATGGTGGCAAAGCCATGCCGGCATGGACTGTCTAACAAACCACCATCAGCCATAAGCGTGTTCCTGTATTTTGTGTTTACTTGGCATTAAGAAGTGATTATGGAAATAGTAAATCAGTTACTGCTCGGATATATATATATATA